CATAATCATAAAAGTATGAGTTTGTATAGCTTTATTTCCATTACTTTTGCTAACATTTTTACACTAAACCAAACATTTTACACCAACCATTACCTTTGGGATTTTCAATATTCTATGAATTTGCATAATGATTATGTGACAATTGCAAACTAAAGTGTACAATATTCATGAACATGTGATTTACCTCAATACCCATTTTTTAATTTCTTGAGTCAGAAACTCTCTTTATCAGTAAATGATTTTTGGTTTTGTCTCTGAAGATATCAGCAAAGGAGGGGATAACAATTCATTTTCTCAGTGAGATCCAAATCATTTCATAGAAAAAGTTTAATTCTTTTGAACTGTAAAAAGAGATGACAACATAAAAAACAAACAAACAAAAAGACCTTCCCTAGGCAATACAAGCTAAGAATATAGCACAGAATCCTTTCTCTCCTCCTTCACCTCAGAAGTCTATCCAGTTTTCCTTTTTTCCAAAATGGGGGCTTTGATCAGTATGGCCACGAGATGCCTGCCTATCCTATAACTGGTAGGAGTAAACAGTTAAATTAGTCATTGACGTAGCATAATCCCATATACAAGGAGGTGGTTTAAATTCTTGAAGATTTTAGTATACTATGAGAAATTGATTTTGTCCACCAACACTGCTTTTATATGTCATAAAAAGATTGCCTGCGGAAATAGTTGACTGTTTGGGGTCAACCTTTTGAGTAGGCTAATGAATCTTATCCTTTTGACTTTAAAAGAGAAAATATAAGAATACTAAGAAAACTGATCCCAGAAATATATATGACAGTGAAAGAATAGATTACACTGTCAAAAAAGCCAACTTCATAAATAAACAAAAGGAAAAGGATTATGCTTTTTTTGCAAATATTTGACATAATAATAGAAAAAGACAAATTGAAGGGGTAGATAAAAGCATTAATACAATTAAACTAAATTTTCCTATGTGCAAAGAAAACTTATTTGGAGTAAAAGTTCTGAGGATAATAGTAGAAGATCCTGGGTGAGGTATTGGTAGGTGTTAGGTGCAAGTTGCTTGTGAGAACTGTACATTGAGGAATTGCCATTCCATATTAAGATATGGAAAGGGAGCTAAGGAAAGCTGAACATGTAAGTTATTTGCAAGGACAAATACTACCAAAGACAAGTTTATCACAGTGTAGGAACCCAAGAGATCAAAAGTACATCTTGTAATGAACCTTTTCTTGAGTTTATGGAAATCACTGCCAGCTGTTCCTATCTGAAGACTACTTGAGGCAGAATGACCCAGAAAGTCCATATGGTACAAAGGCAAAAGCTTAATTAGCTATACCACGTCTAACTTCCCATTCCCAGAAGGAAGGAAATTAATTGTAATGCACATGTTGAGAGAGTGACTTTCAAAAATGCAAGAACTCTGGAAAGTAAAACATGCTACTGTTTTATAGCTGCTATCTTTTATAGGAGAATTTCAGGTGATGGTAATTTATGTCTCTTTTTCTAGAAAGGGCACATGTAGCTTCCACAATGAAATTTATTTTACAGATACAAGGAGGGAAACTGTGACTCCTATAATTTACACTTGTTCGTTGTAACATCTCATTTTATAAAATAGTCAAAAGCTCGTAAATTATAAATATGCCAAAAGTCAATGTAACATTTTTAAAATTGTCATTGCTTAATTACTTAAACCTGGAAGCACTTCTGAACATAACTGCAATAAGTTACATCTGTCTATTAGCAAAGGACTTAAATTCTTATTTTGTTGAAAAGGGAATGAGATTGCATATGGAGTGTGTGTGTGTGTGTGTGCGCGCGCGCGCGTGCGCGTGCATGCACGCATGGGCACACAAGTGTGCTGCTTTTCCTGTCATTATGGGGTTCTAAATGACAGAAATTTTGTTTGTTCACAGAGGTGTGACCTGAACTCTGATAGTGTTTGGATCTAAAATGTCAACACTTGTGAGTGTGGGAGCTGAGGTCCTTTATTGATATAATTGTACTTCTGGATCATTTCCTACTGTGCTCCACCTGCTCTAGGAAATTTTCTGGAAGGGTAGGAATCCCCTAATGTCTGTGTAGAAAAACTCGTGAATTTCACTTGAACAAAAAAATCTCAGTACGTTCTCTATCCTCCATGCACCTTAAGTTTCACTTCATAGCAACATAAATAATCTATGTTATGGTACCAACAATTAAGATGCATTCAATCTATAATTTTTATTCTACTACTTTGTTTTCTAGCATTTTTGTCAAAATTGGTCTTAGCTCAGAGTTGAAAAAAGAGAAAGAAAGAGAAGAAAAGTAAGGAAGATTTTATTTTATTAAGGTAAAGTTTGTTTACAACACTATATATGACTTAGGTTGCAGTGCCAGCGACGGAAGGCAGGTTCTCTATCAATTCGTGCAGCCAGATAAAGGAGGGTCCTGGAGCCCTCAGTGACTTTTAGACTTTAATGCTCTCTATATGCCAATTGTTGTGGAGCAAGCCTTGGGGGGAGAGGGAAAAGGGCAGGAGGCAGGGAATCTTTATTCTGTCTCTTTGGGATCTCTCTGGTTTTTCTCTTGTGGTTTCATCCTCTTTGTAGCTGTTAAACCAGCCATGTTTGTCTCTGAGTGATGCCACCCTTACAGCTTCTACCTTCAGGCTCAGGTGTGTCCACTTACACATGCCCACACCATACTCTGGGTGTCTACCATCAGGTACGCATGCCCCATGCCCATGCTCCCAAGGGCCTCCTGCATTAGGATAATGAAAGCAGCAGGTGATAGCCACAGAGGGTAGCGGTGTAAATGCCTGGCCATCTTCATTTACCCTACAAGGTTCTCACCTCTTCACATGTGTGTAGCATACACACCATGTCTACCTCCAAAATGCTCCACCATAGGAAAATTTTAAGAATGCCTTTCTTTCATTTTCATCAGAGTTTACAGTATACTCCCCCATCACACTCAAACAAAAATGTGGTTTGGGATTCAGTGATGGAACTGTATGTTTAAGGAGCCTGGAAATACAGTTTCATTAGTACAAGGCATTATAACTTTTTCCTTCTCAAAACTTCTTTTATTAGAGTTTGCACTAAATTGTTCTATGAATCTAAACTCAAGCTAACTAATCAACCAAGCTTTAAAATTTCTTCATAATTGTTATCGTAACAATTTGTACTGTTATTTATTTCTGTGACTTTATTTTCAACAGTATTTTCTAAGTTGGAGAAGCATTTCTATATCACTTTGAGCTTGGTTAAACTCATTGCTTAGAGCTGTGATTACTTTCAAGTCCTAATCAAATGGGCAAAGCTCTCTTCTTACTTGGGAAGTCACAGACAATCAAAAGCAGTATTTTTCTTTTTTTCCGTCCAATAATATGTTTATTAACATTTATTATTGAAGAATTGTCTTATTGCATAGGATACACTTTCTGTATCAAGGTAATGGAAAGGGATCAATAAATGGAAAGATTACATACTTTTTCTTTGACAGAATGTTTCATCTGAAACAAACATATCATGTGCCAGTTACTATAGAGCCAGAATGCCCTTTACAGCTGTTTACACTTCAGATGTAAAATGGCAATTTGATAGAGACTAACAGTGTGATGTGAGCAACTGCGTAAAAAGGCTACTTAGGAGCATGCCCAGTGAGCTGAAAGAGTCCTGCGCCCCCCTCCCTTCCCAGATCTCTGAAGATAAGACTTGAACTTTGCACTTGCAAATGTCACTGCATACGTTTTGCTCTAGGCTTTTTTTTTTTTTTTAAAGGTTCTGTTACAACTAATTTCCTTTTAACGACATGAACCGGGAAGAGAATTTTTAGGGCACTAAGATGCTTTAAGTTTAGATTGACTTGATGCCTGTCTTTGAATGCACTTGAAGTGTTCTTTCTTTTTAAAGCAATATAAAGCATAGGCGTGTTTGTTTTCTCTCCCTTGGAATGGGAAAATAAGATTCTCCTTGGATTGGAGTCCTCCGGGCTAGGGAGTGAAAGCCCGGGAGGCAGCAAGGGACGGAGAGAGGGGCTTGTCCAGAGCATGGATAGGAAAGGAATAGGGGTTCCTCCGGGCTCAGTGCTCACGGAGGATCGGTTCCCGGGGCTGCAGCTGCGGACGAGAAAGGCGTTGTTTGGCTAATGAAGGCCACCTGGATCAGGCTTCTGAAAAGAGCCAAGGGAGGAAGGCTGAAGAATTCGGATATCTGTGTAAGCTCAAGGGCTTTTGTTTGGGGGGAGACGTTTTTTTGTCGTTGCTTCTGCTGTTGTTGTGGTGAGTGCAGGCAGCGACTCCTTTGATTTAGTAACGCGATCCTGATTGCAAGAGAGGGAGCTAGGAAGATTCCTGCAATTTCCTGAGCTCCTTTTCCTATGTTGTGATTTATCCCTGTGGGAGAGGTCTCAGACAGGTGTTTTTTGTAGACAGCTTTTATAATATGTATTTAAAGGTATTTTAAAAAGGGGTGCTTAAAGACTGAGTGAGGCTGACTGCTGGTGTCTTACAGTTTTGTCAGAGAAGGTATCAGGTGAATAAACAGGTACAAAAGGATGCTTAAGCTAAAGTGGGAGTCATCTCATGATAGTGACATTTGGGGGAATTCAAGTTTGTAACTCAGACTTTCTTTTATGTTTTTTATTACTGTATCTTCTTCCCAGTTGCCAATACTTGTTCTAGCGTGTAGATGGTTCTTGAAGCTATCCTTCAAATCCATCTATGCCCTTCAGCTCTGCACTGCACCACAGAGCTGGTTTAATTCTGAAGGAACTTGTTCTAGCTTCCAGAAAGGATAGTAATTGGAACATAAACCTTGGGGATGAGGGTAACTTGGTGGATACAACTATCCTAGTGAATGGTCTATGGATAGGAACAGGATTTTTCTAGCTGGTTTGCTACCAAACGGATGATTTTTTTCCTCTTTTTAGGAATTTATAGCACAATCTAGGAAGCTGACTGCCATGTCAATGAGAGTTTTCCAACACAAAATCATAGACAGAATCTATTTTAAAATGTAAATTTTCTTCTCAAGGGTTCGGCAGACTCCTACACCAGCCGTCCGTCCGATTCAGATGTTTCTTTGGAGGAAGATCGGGAGGCAGTGCGCAGAGAAGCAGAGCGACAGGCCCAGGCCCAGTTGGAAAAAGCAAAGGTAAGACCATGTCTTCCCTGCCAAGATCTGTCTTGCCACTTGTGCTGGGTCCTGATGGACCACCTATGGAAGTTGCTCCTGAGCTTCTGTTTGATATATTCCATTTCATTGTCTGACTTAAAAGAGGTACCAGAAAAGGAGTGTATTGTCTACGCTTGGGAGAAAAAAGGACGTGTGACATGTAAGGGTGGTCTCGCCTTTATGTGGTTTTATAATCCAGGCAACTTGTCTCTGTTGGTGGATGGTTTATTTAGACACAAAGAAAAGTTCCCCTGAATATAAAAAGATAAAAAGCTGGCTCTAATATCAAAATGATTTTAACTTCATTTTTCTGGTAAGCCATATATCCTTGTTTAAAAAACCATATTTCTTCAAGGAAATGGTTTTTTTCCTTAGACCTGAAAAATCTGTCTCCCCAGATTTTATTTAATAGTTGTTTTGTAATAGTGTTTTCTTACATTAAAAAAATTCATTGCATTCTGCTTTTCAAAAATAGAGCTGCAAAATTTTTAAAAAGTTCCTTCCCCTTAGAACATTTCTCATAATAATAGAGTGTGTATATATAGAGGGTGACTGGAAATCAAATATAAAGTATATTGGTACAGAATTTAGCTGAGACTGTTTCCTCTCACTAATTATAATGGTTTGAGCATTTTTTCCATGTGGTCACTCAAGTAGCTATTTCTAAGCCTTTAGTTATCTGTTTGGGGCATTTTGTCCATGACTATGTGCTGTGAATCATGAGTTAGATAAATGGCACAGCTATTTCATAGATGGTTTTCCAAGTTTAAGTACCTTGGTTTGTGTGATATTTGGTAACTTTTAACACAGTTGTTGATTTTTTCTTGAAAGAAATTGCTATTTTGAAAAAAATTGAGTTCTGTGTTTACCTTGCTTAAAAAAAATCAAGGGTGGCATTAGACACTTCTGCTGACAGTTTTATCTCTGTGATCAGTAACATTTCTGTGTGTTGCTATGGGAATCATGTCTTGGAGATCCTGGTTTGAATGCAGGGACAGCCTGATGTAATATGCATGACCTCTAGCTCAGAAGCCTAGTAGGTTACAGAGGGGCTGCCAGGAGACCTTGACTTTTTAAAAAGCAGTATTTCCATACATCAAAACAATGTTCTTACCTCAGCTGGCAGGGAAGTCATCTCAAGGTCTGACTCAATTTTGACTGCACGACAGCTGTTAAACAGCTGGAGCAGGGAACTGATAGAGCAAGGTGTGGTCCAGTTGCCATCAACTTATCTACCAAAGTTAACCATTTGATGCATGGATGAGCTTGGAAAATATCATGCTACATAAAATAAGCAATCATGGAAGAACAGATACTGCATGATTCCACTTGAAGTATCTAAAGTACTCAAACTAGTAGAAGCTGAGAGTTGAATAATGGTTGCCAGGGACTTGGACGAGGAGGTAATGGGGAGTTGCTCTTCAGCAGCCATAAAATTTCAGTTATGCAAGATGAACACATTTTAGAGTTACAGGACACCATTGTGCCTATAGTTAATAGCACTGTACTGCGCACTTAAAAATGCGTAGCTCTCTCGTTAAATTTTCTTACTACAATAAAAAACAAGTGAAGTTGAAATTAAATAATAAAGAAAACTAGATAATGAATATGTGGCACACAAATGTAGTTGCCACAAGTTTGCCAGGTAGCTAATATATGGTGGAATTGAGAATCTGAATTCTGTTTTCTATATTTTGCACCAGGGTGCAGAAAAAGTCAAGGAAAAAAATAAGTTTGTATTCCAGAAATAATAGTGTTCTATTTGCACTAATTTATTCCTGTGATTTTCACATACCAAAATTAAACTGTTTCTCAGATTTATATCACAGCATCATACAACCCATTCTTTTCAAAGCACTTTGGTTACCTGACTGGGGCATTTTGTCTATGACTTTGCTGAGTTAACAGCTGCATAGAACTTTTAACTATTTTTCACCCCTGCATGGACCAAAATATTGATTCTGAATCAAATCAGCTTTGTGTTGTCATACCAACTAAAAGGTTTATAATTACAAGTGAAGTAGAAGAGGAAAGAAAATAAGATCATTTAAAATGAAAGTAAAGTTAGTGAAGGCCTATTTTCTGTGTTTAATGAAAATAGTTTATTGACATCCATTTTTCTTCATTAAAATTAGGTCACTGTCTTAAGCCTTTAATGTATTCAAATGAGTTACACTAGGCTAAGTGAGAATTTGAGAAGATAAAAGTGAGTAGGATTTATTTTTATGTTAAAATCATGGTTAGGTATGGTTTATTAATTCCAATGTCTTTGAGAAGGAATGCCAAAGAGAGACTGTGGATGACTTGTTCACTAGTTTATTTTGTTCTCCACCACAATCCTATCATTGTTACTTTGTGGAACCTATTTCAAAATGAGACCTTAAAGTTTAAAAATATGTGCATTCATTTTTAATTTTTAGATAGTTTGGAACACTTTGCACATCCATCTCGATGAATCGAAAGTTCTCGAGATTTATTTTGTAACCATCATAGCATCCCTCTAGCAGAAAAACTTTATGAGTAGATGCTTTCATTCACTGACCCTATAGATCACATGCAGTATGCCTGTGCAAATACCTGTAGTAAACCTCAGCGGTGCTTTCAGTTCCTGGCCCTCTCTAAAAATGAACTACATTATCCCTTAATTGCCTTAAGATTACATCTTTGAAATAAGGTGATTGGCAGGGAATGAAACTAGAGACTTTGCATTTTGAAATTAAGTGACCTACAAAAGGTTATATAACTTGGGATTCTGTGCTGCCAGTAAAACCCAATACTTTGCACTAGCACTTTCTTACAGCATCTCTTGAACTAGTAAATTCTGCAGGGAACAGATTATATATTAATTTTGAGACAAATATCAACTGACATGAACTTCTTTTTTAATTTAGTGTTTGTTTTCTGATCCCAAATGCATATTAGATCTTGTTCCGTTTGCCATACTTTGCAAATCCCGATTATTTGAAAAGCTCCTGTTCTTTAATATTGCCTTAAAGACAAGTCATGTAGGGATTTAATTTATTCCCACATTGATCTTTTTTAAAATAACAGCTGTACTAATATAATCACTCACTTGGAACTCCCTAGTGGTATAGGGTTAAAGTCTCAGTGCTATCATGCTATTATAGCTATGGCCAGAGTTTGATCCTCGGCCAGGAAGCTAATCCACATATGGCACAGCAGACCTCTTCTGTCTCACCCAGTGCTCTCTCAGCAGTGTATTTCAGTAGATCTGCCTGTTCTGCTCCCCGCCCTGTCTCTGGTGAATCCTCTCACCCCCTGTACCTCTGGCCTATACCCCAGTTCTTCTATGCATAAATAAATTAAATCTTTTAAAAATCACTCATTTAAGTTATACACTCAGATTTGTGTAGCTATCACATTAATCAATTTTAGAACATTTTCATCATGGCTAAAAGAAATTCCATGTTCTAAATTAGCAGTCCAATTCCTCACAACCCACTCGGCCCTAGGTAACCACTATTCAACTTACTGTGTGTATAGATTCTTCTATTCTGGATATTGCGTATAAGTGGAATCATACTATAGATGGTCTGTTATGACTACTTCCACTTATATAATGTTTTCGGTGCTCATCCATGTTATAGCATATATTGGTACTTCTTTCCTTTTTATTGCCAAAATAATATTTCATTTTTATCTATATGTACGTACATATGTATACATATGCATAATGCATATGTATCACATTATATTTATCCATTTATCAGTTGAAGTATATGGAGTTATTTCCATATTTTAGCTATTATGAATAATTCTGTTAGGAACATTCTTGTACAAATCCTTGCATTAAAGTGTTTTCATTTCTTTTACGTGTACATCTAGGAGTGAAATTGTTGAGTCCTATGATAATTTTTTCTTAATTGGGAGAATTGTTTTTCTTTTCTCTCTCCTCAATAATGATTCCTTCTGCCCTATATCTGTCTGAGCTGGGAAAAAAAAAACGTATGTGGAATGGAATGAAGCAGAGATGAATATGTTCAGTGCTGCATTTTTAGTAGAATGGATTAACTCTAAATTTTAAGTTGATTGTTCTCTCATGGGTGAATGTCTGCTGTATTGAAGCAACAGTACCAGGCCAAAGTCGTAAAGGAACAGACGGATCTTTTGCCTGCAAAAAGTTGCTAGTTTGTTTACGGGGAAAAGTCTTGACCTTAAATCATGCTAAGAGGTCGGCATACTCTAGATAAATAGATAGGTCTATGAATTTTCAGAGGAAAAGACTGCACCCTGCTGGCAGAAAAAGAAAATTCTTTTTGGAAGAGTTGGTGGCCTAAAACTAAACCTTAGCAAGGTTGACAGATGGAGATGAGCTTAAGAAGCAAAGAGTAGAGGACTTCCCTGGTGGCGCAGAGGGTTGAGCGCAGCACTGTGAAGCTGTCTGCAGCCTCTGCAGCGCGGGTTTGATTCCCGCCGGCCAGGGAGATACCTACATGGCACGGCAGACCTCTCGTCTCTCCTGCTCTCCCCTCAGCAGTGCTTTCGGTCCATCTGACTGTTCTGCTCCCAGCTCTGTCTCTGGTGAATCCTCTCCCCCTCCCACCTCTGGCCTGTACCCCAGCTCTTGTATAAATAAATTAAAAAAAAAATCTTTAAAAAGAAGCAAAGAGTAGAAAGTGGAGAGAGTCCTAGGCTTGAGAAGTAACCAAAGTAAAGGCCAGCCTGTAGAAATGTTTGGCAACAAGAAAGCGTGACTCCTTGACTCCTCTTTAGAGAAAAGTACTTTTTTGAGATCTTGCCAACTTGAAAACGTCTTTAGAGTGTCTTTATTTGCATTTAATTGTTTAGCTGGATATAGTAGTCATGTAGGAAAAGCATTTCCTTGGGGTTTTTAAAGGCATTGTTTGGTTGTCTGCTGGCTCCCAGCATTGCTGTTGTGATTGCTGCTGTTGTTTTGTCTTTATCTGTGGTTTTTGTTTTTTAATTTAATGTTAAGAACTATTCTGCTTTAGCATTTT